GGGGCTTTTTCACAGCATATTGGCAGACATCTTCTTTAGAGAGATTGAAACGTTTGCAGATTCTATTAGCTCTTTTGGGCCCCAGATGACAAGGCACAGTAGTATGAATGAGACCAGGAATATCTTTCTCCCCATTTTTTACAGTGACCAAGTTGAGAATACTCAGATCGTTATCCACAATGCAACCCCAAACAGATTTGTACTTTTTTCCCCCAGTCCTCCTTGGTCTATCACAAGAATGCCCCTTACTCAGTAGCAGGTGGACACAGCCATGGGTCAAGACACCCTGCTTCGTGGGAAGACTTTGTCGTTCCCCCTACTGATCTGAACCACATAACCCTTCTCTTCTTCGCCACCAACAACTTCTGTGGCCATACAGTTCTCATAAAAGGTACGGTGATCACTTCAATGAGTTTCTGGCAGCCAGTGGCTGGGAAAGATCTTTGGTTTTATTCTGAAGCAGCCCACTTCCTCCCTTGTTCATTTCTTAATTGGACTATTTTACAATTATTTAATTTTAAGAGTTCTTTATAGATTTTAGATACAAGTCCCTCATCAGATGTGTTTTGCAGATATTATCTCCCAAACTGTGGCTTGTCTTCTCATTCTCTTAACTGTCTTTTTCAGAGCTGACGAAATAAAATTTTAATTTTAATAAGGTTCAATTTACTAGTATTTTTCTTTCATGGATCATGGCATTGGTGTTGCATTTAAGAACTCATCACCAAACTCAAGAGTTATGTAGATTTTCTCTTATGTTTTCTTCAAGAAGTTTTATATTGCTACATTTTACATTTAGGTCTGTTATCCATTTTAAATATATTTTTATGTAAAGTGTAAGATCTTTATCTAGGTTCATATTTTTGCATAGGGATGTCCAGTTTTCTCCACACCACTTGTTGAAAAGACTGTCCTTTCTCCTTTGAATTGCCTTTGCCCCATTGTCAAAGAGAAGTTGACTGTACTTGTGTTGGTCTATTTCTGAGCACTCTGTTCTGTTCTGTTGATATATGTCTGTGATTTTGCCAGTACCACATTCCTTAATTACTGTAGTTATGTTTTAAGTCTTAAAATCAAAGAGTTTGAACCCTTCAACTTTGTTCGTTGTTCTCAGTATTGCGTTGGCTATTCTAGGTCCTTTGCCTTTCTACATACACTTTAGAGTCAGTTACTTGAGTCCTATACAATAGCTTTCCGGGATTTTTATTGGGATTGCATTGACTCTAGAGATCTGGTTGGATGAATTGACATCTTAACAATTGACATCTTCCTATCCATGAACATAGAATATATCTCCATTTATTTAGATCTTCTTTGATTTTTTTTTAATTTAAATTTTTTTTTTTAAGTGACATTGGTTAATGAAATCCAATAAGTTTCAGCTGTACACTTTAACAGTAAGGCATATGTCTATTTACACTGTGTGTTCATTCTTTGATTTTTTTTATCAGCATTTTTTGTAGTTTTCTACATATTGGTCCTATATATATTATGTTAGCTTTATCCCTAAGTATTTCATTTTTTTATTGTAAATGGTATTTTTTTTAATTCCAAATTCCAGTTGTTCCTTGCTTATATATAGGAATGCATTTGGCTTCTGTGCTTTATCCTTCATTCTTACCTATACTCACTTTTCCACTTTTTGAGGTCAACTTTTGGGGATTTTCTACATTTAAATCATGTCATTGCAAATAGATAGTTTTATTTCTTCCTTCCCCAAAAGTGTACCTTTTAATTCCTTTTGTCTTACTGCACTAGCAAGGTTTTCAGTACTGTGTTGAATAGGAGTGTTGAGAGAAGATATCCTTTCCTTGATCCCAATCTTTGCGAGGAAGAAATCCAATTTTCAACATTAAGTATAATGTTAGCTGTAGGTATTACGTAGATATTCATCATCAAATTGAAGAATTTTCCCTCTACTTAGTTTGCTGAGAGTTTTTATCATGAGCAGGTGTTAAGTTTTGTCAAATGCTTTTTTGCATCAATTGATATGATTATATGATCATTCTTTTTAGTCTGTTGGTATGGATCACATTGATTAATTTTCAAATGCTGAAACCAGCCTTGCCTACCTGGATAAATTCCACTTGGCCATTGTGTATAATTCTTTTTATACACTGTTGGATTCAACTTGCTAATATTTTGTTAAGGATTTTTATGTCTGTGTTCATGAGCAATATTGGTTTGTAGTTTTTCTTTCTTGAAATGTCTTTATCTGGTTTTGGTATTAGAGTAATAATGGTCTTAAGGAATGAGTTAGGAAGTGTTCCATTTTTCTTCTGCTTTTTTTCTGGAAGATATTATGGAGAATTGGTATCATTTCTTCCATCTGGACCTGGTGATTTATTTTGTAGAAGGTTATTAATTACTGGTTCAAATTTTATTAATGGATATAAGGCTGTTTGGATTATCTATTTCTCCTTATTTGAATTTTGGTATTTTGTGTCTTTCAAGAAGTTGGTCCATTTCATCTAAATTTTCAAGTTTGTGGGCAGAATTGTTTATAATATTCCTTAATTCCTTTAAGTGTCCATGGCTTCAGTAGTTATGGCCCATCTTTCATTTCTGATTAGCCTAGTTTATCAATTTTATTGATCTTTCCAAAGAAAAAGTTTTTGGTTTCAATGATTTTCTATATTGTTTTCCTGTTTTTAATTTCATTGATTTCTGTTCTAATCTTTATCATCTTTTCCTCTACCTGCTTTGGGCTTAAATTGCTCTTTCTAATTTTACAAGTTAAAAGCTTAGATTATTGATTTTCAGATCTTTTTTCTTTTTTAATATGTCACTTAATGCTATAAATGTCCCTCTAAGCACTCCTTTCACTGCATCCTAAAGCCTCACTTTAATTTTATGATTTCTGCTATCAGTTTTCATGATTGCTGGTGTCTATGTGTTTTGTGCACTCCAGTATACGTATGATATAACCACAATTTAAAAATGGAAATAAAAGCAATAATTTGCTTTGAATTAGGATGACATACCATTGTTATTGAAAATTGTTCTGAAGTTTACCTGTTTCCAGCATAATTATTGTTTCTTTGAAAGTGACCTTTTCTCTCAGGCTGCTGTGTCTTTGGAATTCAAAAGTTTCACTTTAGAGTGTATCCTGTGGATTTCTGTTTATTTTGTTTGATATAATGAGGTGTCTGTATCTGTTGTGTTTTTCATCAATTCTGGAAAAACTCCTAGCTTTATCTTTTCAATTATACTTGTTCCATGCTCTCTTTTCTCCTTATGGAACTCCATTTTCATTCTGTCATCCATGTCTCTTTACTTCTTTTTTATATTTCACTTTTCCTCATCTCTCTGGGTTGCATTATAGGCAATTTCTTTAGAAATTCAGTTCAGAAATTTCCTCAGAAATACATTCAATTTTCTCTTAAGCTCTGTCTAATCTTCTTAACCTATCTTTAAAATATCCTTTAGTTTTTCTGGACCTCAAATATCCTTAGTTCATGGCAACTATCATAAGTGGCCCTTGTAAAGCCCTCTCATTTGTTTGTTGTCTTTTATCCATCATTTCTTTCTTGTATTCCTCACTCCAGGCAACCATTCAAACGTATTGTTTGTATGTATGTATTACTGTGAGTTTTGAATTGTTTTACAAAACTAATAGTTCACAACAGATTAGAAGTTTTAAAAAAGAAAAGGTCATTCACCATAGACAGTTTGAGGAACATTGCTGAAGAGTGTTCCACCTTCTGGATTTAGCTGATTGCTTTCTTTCAATGTCATTTAATTTGTCCCTCTATGCTTAAATTTCCTGTAAATATGCAGTTAGTTCTAAAGGTTTGATTCGAAAAAAGAAAAGGTCATTTGGTTTTTTTTTTAGTGGGAATACTTTATACGTGATGGTGTATCTTCCATGTGAGGCACGTGTTTGGTTTGTACACATTTGTTGATGGTGAAATCGATCACTGGATTCTGATGTGCTGGACTGATCCCACCATTATAGTTACCCTCCACCCTTTCATTTAACATTTTTAACATCCATTGATAGCCATTGCCTAGTCCGTTTATTGCATTAAGGACTATGATGAAATGATTTTTTAATATCCTTCTATATTTATTAACTGGAATTCTCATCTCAAGAACGTTCTGTCAGCGACTGTTTTGTTATCCTAAAGCATATTTTGTAAATAAAAGACAGGATAAATTCTTGGCTCTTTTCCCTTAACGTATCAATTTCAGAGTAATGGGTTAGTGCCTTAGCAACCCTCCAATAGGTGGTGGTTTTTGTTTGTGCTTTTAGTGTCATTATGATCTCTTGTTTTTTTTATCTATTTTATTCGTATTCAGTCTTTTGCAGTTTTCATTCATTTGATATTCAGTTGTCCCATATAAACCAGTGGGAGCCCTTCAACTTCTCTCCTGGGTTCTTTTGGTATTATCGCCATTAGCCATTGATAGATTCCTTCAACATGTCAGGCTCATTTGGGTGGAGTTCCTGCCACAGATCAGAGGTTCATCTACTTTATTCGTAAAACTAACTTTTAGATTTCTTGTACCTCTCTACGTTTTCTATTTCTTTAATTTCTGCTCTTAGCTTATAAATTTTCAATCTTCTTTTTATTATAAACATGTAAGGCCCTAGGCATCTGTTGAAGATCCACTTTTGCTGAGTCTCACAAGTTTTTATATGCAGTATTTTTATCTGTATGTAGTATATTTTATAATATATTTGATATATGATGCTTATACTATTTTTAGCTTTCAATTATGAATTTTTCTTTGATCCATGAATTATTCAGATAAGTGTTTTAAAATTTACAATTATGTATGCATAATTATGTATGCATATTATGTTGTTAGAGTTGGGGTTTAGGTCATTTTTTGTATATATAGAGGATTCCCCAACTAAATTGTATATTCCTCAAAGCAATACTCTTAAATTTTATTTGTGTCTGTTCCCTGACTATGTTTCTTGCCATGCAGTAGATGGCATAATACTTACATGTTAGAGAATTAAATGAACTATCATACTTTTTATTTTCTAGGTATATAAGAATTAAATTCTGAATAAGTCTACAAGTAGGATGGACAGTTATTTTAAAGCAGCAGTCAGTGACTTGGACAAACTCCTTGATGATTTTGAACAAAATCCAGGTTTGTTGGTTTTTCATTTTTGTCACTAATGGACTTTTAAAACGTCTTTAATTCCATTATCTCAGTTATAGAGTACTCTTAGCAAAATTTGGTTTCAATTTTGGTCACATGGTTATCTTCTATAAAATGTTCACTTATTTTATTATAACATATTAGTTTTTTTTATACTGGATGGAACCAGTAGCCACAAATAGAAGTAAGGAAACTAGAAGTTTCTCTCCTGATAGAAATTTAATTAAAAGAAACACCTTTAAAACCAACATATGAGCAACTTGAATGCTCTACATAAATTGGTGTTTTATTACTATGAGAAGTGGTATTTTTCTCATCTTAGCATGAAGACAGTACCCTAGTCTTCACACTAAAAGGGTAGAACAAAGAAGTTAGTTTTTCAGCTATTCCTTACTCTTGGTTTTATAGTTTAACTGAGTTATTCTGAGTGGAACTTCTTATCACTTTATGACATCTACAGTTAAAAGTAAAAACCCCAAGTACTTTAAATCCAAATAAAAATAATTTTAGAGGTTATTACCATTTTGCAAGAGAGTTATCTATCTCTAAAAAAAAGTTTAGTTTGGAAGTCTTAGAAAACATAATATCTCTGTAATAATTTTGATTTGGGTCACCTGAATAACAATGTATTTTCATTTTAATTAGATGAACAAGATTATCTTCAAGATGCACAAAATGCATATGAGTCTAACTACTGCTCAGTTTCTTCAGAGTTGGCTTCCTCACAATTAACTTCACCTCTACCGAAGGATCAACAGTGCATTAATTGTTTTGCCTCATCAGAAACATGCTATGAAACAAATCAGATCTCACTGAACGAGAAAACATATGAGGGACTAACTCCTATGCAAAATGAAAAAAATGTAACAGGACTTGATCTCCTTTCTTCCGTAGATGGTGGCACTTCAGATGAAATCCAGCCTTCATATATGGGACGATGTAGTAAACCTGTCTGTGATCTGATAAGTGACATGGGTAATTTAGTTCATGTAACTAATAATGAAGAAGATATTAAAAATTTATTGCCAGATGATTTTAACTCTAGTGCAGATTCTTTGATTAGGTTGGATTTATCTCCAGTGTCAGAAACCCTTTGTGTTTCTTCAGCAGACCATGGTAATGATACTATCAGAGAGGAACAGAATGATGTCAACTCTGAGTTACAAAATACAGAAATCAGTGGGACTCAAGAATTGGATATAAATGTTATAAATGTAGATACAACACTTTCAGATTCATTTAATTACAACGGAAAAGAAAATTTCAAGGATATTAAGATCTCTAATCTGTTAGAACCAGTTTTTGATTTGAATATGCCATCTGCCTCAACTCAGCAAGGTTCCAAAATGTTTGATGCCAAGGACATTCCACAACACAATCAGCCATGTGAATTAGTAAAAGCTGATGGCTGTGAGGTAAAAGAGGAGGTACATGTGGCAGTCATAGCTGCCACAGAATGTTTAAAAGAAAGTGGCAGCCCAAATGCTTTGCGTTGTAGTCTAAAAAATGAAGGTTTATGCTTGAATGATTCAGATTCAAAAGATACAAATTTCAAATTAACTGACCTCTCCTTTCAAGAAGATAGGACTGCTACATTTATAAAACAATCTGCAAAAGAAGACTCTAGAAATATAGATCTTAAAGACGATAAAGATGCAAACCAAGATTCCTCTTCAATTTCACATGTTTCAAGTGAAGATATATATTCCTCACTGTCCTGTCTTCCAGCACCTGGGTCTTTGTGTGGATCATTAAATGAAAGTAAAGCACATGGTAATTGTTTACCTCAGAGTGAACGTAAAGATAATATACAAGTAGTGACTGTGCATGAAGAAATACAGAAGAGTGTTATCCTAGATGGGGAATCATTGAAGGAAACTGATCTTCTGAAACAGGAAGAATGTAAAAGCATATTTCATCAGCCATTAATTGAAAAGATGGGAGATAGAAAGGTAGATCCTGATGAGATGGTAATCAGAGTTGAATCTTTGGATTACTCTGATAACACCAGTTCTTCTACAGCTGTGGAATCTCAAATTGAGCTTTCTGGTGCTAATGCCCCAGAGTCTCTTGATCATTGTGAAGGTCTCCCTTTTTCAAGCAGTGATATTGATGGGCAAGACTTAGATTACTTTAATATTGATGAAGGCATGAAAAGTGGCATACTAGTTAGTGATGCCGAACTTGATGCCTTTCTGACTGAACAGTATCTTCAGACCAGTAACATAAAGTCGTTAGAAGAAAATGTAAATGATTCAAAATATCCAATAAATCAAATAGATATGAAAGACCTAGATGATGGAAATGTCAATAATATATATTTCAATGCTGAAGCAGGAGCTACTGGGGAAAGTCCTGGTGTTATGATTTGTGAAACAGTTGATAAACAAAACACAACAGAAAATGGTGGCCTTTCTTTAGGGGAAGAAAGTACAATAACAGTCGAACAAGGGTTATCTAGCAGTAAATCTGAGATTACACATGAATTATCAGTCTTTGATATTAACAGTCAATCTGTTCATGTTGGAGGGGCTAGACCTAAGCAGTTGTTTGGCGTTCCATCAAGAACAAGGAGTTCAAAGGAACCAAATAAAATGGATGTTCCAGATACGCCTGAAAGTGTACCCAGCATAACAGATACCATTGCTCCAACTACTTGTACTACAGATTCTACAACTGATCCTCAGATTAGCTTCAACTCTAACTACATTGATATAGAAAGTAATTGTGAAGGTGGATCCAATCTTGTAACTGAAAACAAAGAATCTCTACCTGCAAACACTTGCAAAGAAGGCCTGGTTTTGGGCCAGAAACAACCTACTTGGGTTCCTGATTCAGAAGCTCCAAACTGTATGAACTGCCAAGTCAAATTTACTTTTACGAAGCGGCGGCACCATTGCCGAGCATGTGGGAAAGTAAGTTATACAAATCTTTAAGTCTTTTATTCTTTTGAGACATTTTAAATGAAATTTAATGTGATAAAAAAGCTGATGAATGGATGATTAAAAGATGCAGTTAATTTAAAATGCTTGTTTTTCACCTACATGCAAATATATAAAGCATTGTCATGTTACAGATTGAGAGTTGAATAAATGTCACATTGTAATGGCTATTATGTACTGGGAAATGAGGAACAATAATTACTAATTTTTGTGAAATCTAAGAATACGTGTCCTATTTGTCTAACATTAACACATCAGATGTCCCAACTTCAGCTAGATCTCCCTTTGTCCTTGAATACTTAATTTCAAGACCTCTCTGAAGCTAGTGTTGTGGTCCTTACCCAGGGAAACACACAAAAAAACACACTGCCTTGCACGAGGTTCAGAACACTGAAGCTGACCTCATTTGCATTCTGACAACCTCAGTCATCCTAGAGTTAGCTCTAGAAATAACATTGCATTTTTTTATTCAGCATTTTTCAGTAATATGCTGGTGTCAGATCAACCTTACTTTTAGAAAGTTTTTGTTCTCTTCCAATGAATAGAACTGATTTAAAGAAATTTCCTTGTCAGATATGATTTTAAATTGAAAAAACCTCATTTAAGTAAAAAGTGTTTTATTAACTGCCTATGATTATAATGATTAGAAAAATTATATAATCAGAAAAATGGTTTTTGATCAATTCAGTTTTGGGTCTCCCCTCCTCCTATCTCCAGTAGGTATAAGTATGCTTGAAACAGAACTAAATTTAATATTTTATTCTTTATAGGTATTTTGTACTGTCTGTTGTAATAGGAAGTGTAAGCTGCAGTATCTAGAAAAGGAAGCAAGAGTATGTGTGGTCTGCTATGAGACTATTAGTAAAGGTGAGTAGTAACCTGACATATTTTCTTTAAGTAATTGAATATATCTTTTAAAAAATTGGATTGTGACAAAGATAAACTTCTTTATTTTCTAAAGGCGAGGACCTAGTGTTGACTTATCTGGCTTAGGTGGGACATCCCAAGGCTTGGTTTCTCTTCTTTTTGTTCCACTGTCACAATTAATACTACCAGTCTGGAAAGGAAGCATTCAGTTTCTGGAGTGGCAGTTCATTAACCTTTAACAGGTACCAAGTCCCTAAATGCTGCATTTCATCTACCTGTTGTTTTTGCCATCATCATTGTCATCATCATCATCTTAGTCTAAACATTTATGGAACACCTACCAATAAATAGTATTTAATCTTATATGTTAATATCACAAGGCAAGATAATAATAGTTCCCACCCTTTAGAAAATTATAACCTAAAATGGAAATAAAAGATAAGGTAGTAATATCTATGATTTTATAGTTAAATGTATAAGACTGCCACACTCTTTGCACATTGTTGTCTCATATATTTTTTCCCTGTTCAATTTTAGAATTTTGTTTGTGAGTCCCATTGTTTCTTTGGCTCCCTAGCTAGCTATCATTATCAGCTACAATCTTGGTGGTCTTATTAGAGTTCTCACAGTTGTGTTCTGTCTGTATGTGTGTATGTTCTGTGTTTTTTCCCTCAAATACCCATTTGTTCTTTTGAGTACTTCTTGGCTTTTTCTTAGATTTGTTGACAGTTTAAATCCCAGCAATATTACTTGGGACTTTTTAAGACCAGGCCTGTGCACTAGCTCAGGCACTACTTCCTGGTAGCCAGGAGAATAAATACCTGATAATAATTTGTTTTTCTCTTTTGAATGAAGATAAATTTTTTCAGCAATTCTCCAAAAAGCTCTGATGTGAGTCTGTTAGCCTGAGGTAAGCTGCTTTACTCCCTGCTGTTGACCTCTGTTCTGGAAGTAAATCTTTTTATATTTCCATATTACCACCATTGCTTATGAAGAGGTTTAGTTTAAGTGCTTAATATTGTTTTGTCTTTTTCTTAACACTGTTTCAGTAGCCTAGAAGATGACTGCTGGTGCTGTTAACCAAAGCAGCCTGCTAGAATGCAGAAATATTAAATCAAGATCTCACTTAAGTATCTCTTCCCACTTAAATATAAAACAGCCATGAAAATTCAAAACATTTGAATTGACAGGTCAGATTTTTAGGTGACATTAAAACATATTCTGACTGTAGATTCCAGAAGGGGAGAAGATAAGAGAGTCATTAAAGAGACTCACTAGAGTATTGAGTTTATTTGTTTTAATCAAACAAAATACTTTGAAATGGGATTTGTTTATTTACTTATCTTTTATTCTGTTTTGATATAGCATGTAATTTCATTTATGGTTTTCTTTATCATTAACTTATACACCACAAGAAAACATAAATAAAAGTTATTTTAACATCAACTTTACGGTTGAAAATGGTAGAAGTGATCATTTAAAGTAATGTTATTAAATAAGAGAAGAAAGATGGCTCAAGTGTTGCAAGACATACTCCATGAAGGATTAGAAGAAAAAATAGTTCCAACAGAGATTGTGTATAATGAAGTGGTGAGACTATAAATTGCAAGGAAACACGTAGATGTGTGCCATTAGTTTGATTTGGGGCATGATGGAAATTACTTTGAAACCCAGAGTAAGATGTTTGGATTTCACTTGGTTAGTGGTAGCCTTTTCATGAGAGTGCTATCACTTATTGTCACTTAAGAAAGGCTGTTTTAGTAGTGGCAGAGTTTAGAGCAGATCAGTTTGTAGATATGCTGAAGAGAGAGCTACCAATATTGTTACATGATATTTGGATGAAAAATCATTCAGCAATATTCAGGGACTATTCTGCTCCAACTGAGAACAAAATAGACTCCCTGTTCTCCTGGAGCTTACGAATGTAGGAGAAACGGATGGATAGTAAGCAAAGAGAATATCATATGATGGTAATATCCTAATAGAAAATTAAGAGCGTAAGAGGGGTAGATAGTAACAGGTTGGTGGCAAGAAGTAATATTTTTTATAAGATGGTCCAAGTAAGGGCTTTAGATAATATGACGTGAGCAGAGACTTGAAGGAAGAGAACAAATGTGAGTATCTAAGGGAAGAATAGTTCAGGCAGAGAAAACAATATGAGCAAAAACCCTTAGCTAGGAGAGTGCTTCTTGACTTATTAAAAAACAAGGAGGCCTGGGTGGCTGGACGTGATGAGCAAGTGGGACTGTAGTGAGAGACGGGCTCAGACAATAACTGGGAAGGCAGAGGAGGTCAGGATGCAGACCCTATGGAGTCTTGTGACTCATTGTAACAACTTAAATTTTCACTCCAGTTGGGAAATTATTAAAGAATTTTAAACAGAGGGATGATATAGTATGATTTATGTCTTAAAAGAATCACTCTGAACTATGTTAGAAATAGACTAGAGGTACAGAGCAAAAACAGTCATATTAAGTAACAATTTTCTATAGTAAATATGAAAGATAAGCTAAATATAAAAATTAGAAATAACTAATTGGTAGCTTATACTGAAGTGGAGTGCTGCCAGCTGAAGTATGGACATTATCTTTGTCAAATGTCACTTCTTTTTCTTGCTAAGCCATTGACTTCTTTCTCCTTACAACTTGAAAAATAGAATATTTATCATACTTTACTTTGATGTCCAAAAACATCTGAGATTTTAATATTATTTTTTTTCCCTTTATAGCTCAGGCATTTGAAAGGATGATGAGTCCAACTGGTTCTAGTCTTAAATCTAATCATTCTGATGAATGTGCCACCATCCAGCCTCTTCAGGAGACCCAAACATCCAGTGTACCTTCACCTACTACTTTACCAATCTCAGCACTTAAACAACCAAATGTCGAAGGTAACTAGAAGAAAATGCTGTGTCTTAGACTAAGTGTTAAAATAGAAATTTTCTAGTATTGACAAGGTCTAGCGAGGAAAGAGAAACCAGACTAGATATCAGAAGGAAGTTAATACAGGGAACTGGTTATGCATGTATGTTAGAAGGTGAGAAGAGCAAAAGGGCATGCACACGTAACTCAGAGATTAGTAACTGCAGGAAGCAACCACCACCTCTAGGGCTGGGGGAACGAAAGTGAGAGGGCAGTATTACTGGAGCTCAGTGCAGGAGCATTAGGTGGTGCTTGGTTCTCAGACCTGTAGTTCCGGGGTTGGGTCACAATGTAGCTGGTGCTGTGACCTCTGGGGGAACACCAAGACCCAAATGCTAGAACAATCAAGGGGCCTAATAAGGTCATTGCTCAGATGATTGAAGGAGTGTTCCAGGGTTGATGTAAAGGAGTACTGAAAATCATGGGACATGAAGCTGTATCTGGTGGTGTGGCTGCTTCAAGACTCCTGACAGGAACTAGAAACAGATAATTCCTTCTCCTCCCACCTTCCAATCTTCCACCAGTGCCTACCATTGATGGAACCTGACTAGAGTTAACTAGCAATGGGCTCTAGGAGTTGCACTTTCCAGACTTCCAGCTTGGCATCAAAGAGCATGGTGCAGAGGGTAGGCTTAGGTAAATACCTGGTGTATTTCTCATATAGATTTTAAAAATCTGTTTTTAAATGTACATTTTACCACAATAAAAAAATGCTTTTTAAAATCTATTTTTAAGTCTTTGGGCTTTCTGTTCTTTTTTATAGACTGTTGTAGTTTAGGATCTTGAGTCAAGCCCATGTACATTTAAAAAACATTAAAAATTTTTTTAAATTACAATTGACATACAGTATTATATTAATTTCAGGTGTACGACATAGCGATTAGACGTTTAGATAACTTATGAAGGGATCACCCTGATAAGTCTAGTATCCATCTGGTACCATACATAGTTATTATAATATTATTGACTATATTCCCTATGGTGTGCTTTACATCTCTGTGGTAGTTTTTATAACTGGCAATTTGTACTTCTTAATCCCTTCATCTTTTTCATCTATCCACCCAACACTCCTCGCATCTGGCACCCATCAGTTTGTTCTCTGTGTCTGTGAATTTGTTTCTGTTTTGTTTGTTCATTTATTTTGTTTTTTATATTCCACATAAACGTGAATTCATGTAGTATTTGTCTTTCTCTGACTTATTTCACACAACATAATACCTTCTAGGTCCATCCATACTGTCACAAATGGCAAGATTTCATTCTTTTTTATAAGCCCATGCACATTTTTATTTATTTGTTTGTTTGTTTTTTAGGCGAGGCAACCCTTGGTTGACCTCACAGATTGCAAAGACCTTGTCAGCTTACACTCCCTTATTTTTTATTTGTTATGCCTACAGCACCTGGTCTTCCTAGGTGGTCTCCCATCCAAGTACTAAACAGGCCCGACCCTGCTTAGCTTCCAAGATCAGACAGGATCGGGCTTGTTCAGGGTAGCATGGCCTGTACATGTGTACATGTTTAAATATAAGCTATTAGTCTGTAACATGCTAGAAAATAACTAACTCAGTTAAAAGCAAATTCAGTCACTTAATAGCTGTTTTCCGTTTATCATTATAACTTAAAGAGATTCAATATATATAGTTGTATATTACAGCTCTAAAGATGAATAAATTTGCTTTTAAAAACATTTACATATTCTCTTATATTGACATCTTATGTTATTAAATTATAAAAGTATTACAAATACAAGAAAGATACTTTATTTAATATGTACACCCAATTGCAGAAATTATATATGATTCTAGTTTTTTAGTGTTTTCTGAATTACGTTCTGGAAGGTAGATATTGATCCTTTTGATTTTTATATCGTTTTAAAATCATCTGGCAGCAGTTTTCATAACCTGCCTCTGTAGGTGCTTTATAACAGAACAAATATTAATGCAGATATCTAGTTATTTCCTCCAAATATGGGAGGGAAATATTAATAAATATTAATAAAGTCTAACATTTACATTATAAGAGTAAAATATATTATACTTCTCTTGTTAAATAAATAAAAGAAGTGACCTCTGATGCACAGTGATCCCGTTTCCTGTTCTTCTATTCCTGTTTCTCTTTCTGTTCTTCATATGATTTTCTTTGCTTAGCTGCGGTGCTCTGGTCTAGTCCATTTTTCCCTCCTATGCCTTAGTCCCTATATTTTAGTCAGTCTCTACTCTACACTCACAAACTTAGTTTTAATAATATAGGCTTTAAACCAGTCCCCTGTATCTTTAAGATATAACCTCTCCTGTCCACTCCTTTTCTGAGTATGTGATTTCCGGGGTCACCTTGCTTTTGTATAAATTAAAAAAAGACTTCCACCCTGGGTTGGTGAATCACATAAGGCCATTTCTGTAGACCTTCGAAACCCTGAGAATGCAGGGCTTGACAATGGATAGCAAAAGTTTTTTAAAACATTTTCTGATCCATTTTGTATTAAATCATTGCAATATTGCCAAGTTAAAGTGCTTTACTTTTTAAACTGAATCTAGGATTATGCTCCAAAGAACAGAAGAGAGTATGGTTTGCAGATGGTATATTGCCCAATGGTGAAGTTGCGGATACAACAAAATTATCATCTGGAAGCAAAAAATGTTCTGAAGACTTTAGTCCTCTCTTACCAGATCTGCCCTTGGTAAGGAATCTAAAGAATGACTTGTTAATTTAATAAAATTTTATTTTGTAGATAATTCCTTGTGTGATTGTTAGAGCAATTTTTTTTTTAACTCTGTGAACTATCTAAAATGAGAAATGTATAATGTAAAAATATTTTAGATTTTACTTTTTTCATTGTCAGTTGAAGGCAATGATTCTCAAATTTTTTGGTCTCAGTACTCTTTTGTGCTCTTAAAAGTTTTTGAGAAAGCCCAAAAGTTATAAGTTATGTGGGTTACACCTGTTGACAATTACTGTGTTACTTTTTAAACTTAATTTAAAAATAAACTCATTATAGTAATAGAAATAATATTTTTATTTAAAAAATTCCAAAACAAAAGGTTAATGAGAGCAATAACATTATTTTACATTTTCGGCTTAATGTCTGGCTTAATAAAAGACAGATTCTCACATCTGCTTCTGTATTCAGTCTGTGATGTGTTGTTTTGGTTAAGTTATATGAAGAAAATCCTAGGATCTTACTGACTTACTGAAAGGATCTTTGGAACTCCAGGAATCCCTGGACCCCATTTTGAGAACTACTAGTATAGGGGGACATAGAACTGAGATTTAGACTAATATTTGTAAAAAATGTTTATTGCACATCTGCTCTTTGCCAGTTACTTGGTTTACCCTAGGTACATATATTAGACAAGATGGATATGTATCATGCTCTGTTCAAGGTCTCATACCGTAGAAATGTATGCTGTTTGTCAGTAAGAGTCCATGAGCTAGATTTTAAAAATAGCCGTAATTACGAAACTATGTTTCTTAGCTAGCACCTACCCTCAATCAGTATTTTAACAAAATGAAAGTTCTAAATAGGTTAGTAAGTATTACTTGAATTCATAAATAGTTCTCATTTAATATTGACTCAGGTTTGGCCAAACTAAAAAGAAAGGGCTTCACTAAAACAGGCTTGAGGTGCAGTTTATTCTAGGTGGTTGCTATTGTGGACTATATTGACTACTCTGCTTCCTAACCACTCCCCTCCCTATCTGCCCCCCTTTTCCTCACCCTTGCTTACCCCAGGTTTTTTTTGGCTGTTATGAGGATAGGCTTGGGTTGAACTAAGCTTGCTTATTGTGTAATATGGTAAAGGATCCTGAAGTTCTCCTTTCCTCCTCTTCCGGTCTATAAAATTAACTAAACCTTATGCTCCTGAATTTAAAGAAGCAAAATGTTACTGTTTCTTGAGAAATTTGGCATCTGAAGAATTTCTGAGCCCATTTTGGTTTTTATTCTTATTAAAAAGATATGTTTGGCTGTAGAGATCAACATTTCACAGTTGAACAAAGAATATGAATTAATTTGTTTTTTATTCCATATTTTGCAGACAGTAAATACAGTGGATCATGCCTATTCTACTACAGTGGAAAAACCAAACAATGAGATAGGTGCTATTACAAGAAACGAGATCATTCAGATTCCATCTATAGAAAAACTGCCCATAAGCACAAGAACTGAGGGATTGCCTACTTCTGGTTCTTTTACACTAGATGATGATGTTTTTGCAGAAGCTGAGGAACTATCTAGTCCTAATGTCTTACCTAACAGCAATTTACCTATTGCTAGTACTTCAGATTATAGGTTACTGTGTGGTATTGACAAGAATGTTTGTAATAAGATCAGTCTTCTTCCTAATGATGAGGACAGCCTGCCCCCTCTTCTGGTTGCAACTGAAGAAAAGGGATCAGGTAGGGTAACAGTTATTTAAATTTAAAAGGTTTTTTTGTTGTTTTTTTTTAAAAGATTGTATTGATGTATTTTGTCTGTGTTGCATGAAATGCATTTCTTTAAACGTAGACAATTTGGTTGAAATATATACTGTGGTTGGTAACTTTGGTTTACAAAAAATTCTTATTATATAAAAACAAATTCTAAAAAACTCTAAACTTTTGAGTTGAATTGAATATGATTGATTTATCACATATGACTCCCTAACTTAGAGTGATGCAAAAGTCCAATACAACAGGAAAACACGTAGACTTTTAGCCCTAAAAATATTTCCATTGTATTAGTTTTGACTCCATATCTTTTTTTTTTTCCAAAGGAGCATAGTACCTAAAGATAAGAGTATTGGATTGGATTACAAAGCTAGAAATTGTAATTTCTCATCTGCTACTTAATATGTATGTGACTTGAAGCATGTTATATAATCTCTTTAGGCCTCAGTTTCCTTTTAAAAGAAGAGAACCTAGATGATCTTTAAGGTCCTTTCCAAGGTGGAGATCCTGAGGCTCTCTAGCTCCCATCTCAGAGTAGTTCCCTAGGATACATACATCCTTGTCACTTTAGGCTTTATGCTTCATCCTGCAACAGGAAATGATTATGCTCTGAGCATGTTAATATAGGGGAAAAGAGCTTAGGATCTCTTTCTCTCATTAGAAGCTATTTCATGAACCTGGCTATAGTGGCAAAAATACCTAAGCCCTATTCTTTGCATGCCATGCATATTTTCCTATTTATTGTTGAGATCCTTTTTTTATTTTTTTTTTTTTTTGCCACTTGTCACTGACATAGAGTATATGTCAGCAAGCAGCATGTGCAACTTTGGTCTGGACTACAGAGTAAATTTCAGAATTTGTAATTGGAGTGGCCGGCAGACTAGAATCCACTTTAAAAAAAATTTTGGTTTAAAGTTTTTAAGGTGTCAAAATTGTATAAAAATGTTTAATCAACGTATTTGCATATATACTATATGTAACGTATCAAGATTTATATGTATTACAGTATTAATATCTTTACATCTGTAAAAATGAGTATATAACAGTTGTCCAAGATGTTGATTAATTTTATGAAACGGTGTTTGCTTTTATTTTTAAATTTGCTCAGGCCATTGATGGATTTATAAATTTTTTTTCATTGCAAGCATATTTAACAGGAAGACATGTTTATTCTAATCGTATATCATTTTCATGATTTAGTGCCTGTAGTAGAAGAACACCCATCTCATGAGCAGATCATTTTGCTTCTTGAAGGCGAAGGTTTTCATCCTGTTACATTTGTCCTAAATGCTAATCTACTTGTGAATGTCAAGTTAGTATTTTGTAAGTAATGATTATTCATCTTTCTTTGCCTAATTGGTAAGCAGGATTTCTAAATTAATTACATCTTCAGGTTAGATTTTGACTGGTAATTGTGAAAAATAGGCAGCATTGGATATTGTTTTTTTAGACAAATATAAATTAATTTTGCAAATTTATATTCAATGGGACTTGAAATACAAGCTTACAGATTTTTACTAGTGTCCCTCAGTCAGTCCTGTGTTAAGGTCATGGGCTCGTAGCTGAGCTGTATTTTGATGTTCATGATATAATTAACTTTTTATATAGATTTTAGATAAATTGAAATTTGGTAATTGAGATAAGCAAGAATCCTGATTTAGTAGAAATACAGTTTTAAAGTAAATGACGTCACTTAATTAAAGTAAGGAAGTAAATAATCCTCAGCTTTACATTCTCTTTGAAACTAGCCTGATTCTTACCTACTACATTTCAAGATATTAGTGCCTTTTTTATTTTAGTGTTATTTATTGACTGACTCCATAAGATAATCGTTCATCCTCTGTCTTTTTTATATTAATCTTATACAATTCAATTTAAAGTTTTAATGAGGAGAACTCTGGAAAAATAAGAAATTTGAAAAGTTGTGATTCATGTAAAGAACAATTATATTTTGTTTTCTTGGTTAATAGAAGTTGACATTTATAGTCGTATGCTTTTATCACTTAAGATTCCTCAGACAAATATTGGTACTTCTCAACCAATGGATTGCGTGGCTTAGGACAAGCAGAAATTATTATTCTATTGTTACGTTTGCCAAATGAAGATATTATTCCCAAGGACATCTTCAGACTCTTTATCTCCATATATAAGGATGCTCTAAAAGGTATAGCATTTTATTTTGAACTGTTCAGACTAAGGGATGGAAAATTAATTAAGGGCATTTATACTTTGGCTATGATAACTATATTAAAGATTTATTTTGTGAAGAGATTATTATTTCTTAGATCTTAATTATCATTTTCCATCTTCTTCAGTCTAGCATTTTATGTGATTAGTCTTTACACAGATTTTTTTTTTCATTTTAAAAGTGAAAATATATTTACCTTCTTGACTTTTTTTATGTGTCTGTATACTTACTGCCCATATGAGAGACATGATAATTTTCACTTGACCTTGAAGTAAGGAGAAAAATTTTTAAATAACCTATGGTTGGAAACATTTTCAAATTTTTGTTCACAATCTCCAGGATAACTGAGCTTTGCGCATTCAGATATTTAATAGATGCTTCTTCAAGAGTGGAAATAAAAAAAATCTTATTAGTCCCAATGATGCCTTACTTAACAGCAATTTACCTATTGCTAGGATTTCAGATTATAGGTTACTATTACTTTTTATAAGGAAATTTATATGGGGACATTCAAACTCTTCTTTAAAACAACTTAAAATCTTTTTATTAATGTTTTATTTCCAGGAAAATACATAGAAAACTTGGACAGTGTTACCTTTACTGAGAGTTTTCTCAGTAGTAAGGACCATGGAGGATTTCTGTTTATTACACCTACTTTTCAGAAACTTGATGATCTCCCATTACCAAGTAATCCTTTTCTTTGTGGAATTCTTATCCAGAAGCTAGAGATTCCCTGGGCAAAGGTTTTTCCTATGCGTTTGATGTTGAGATTGGGTGCAGAATATAAAGGTAAGTTTTAGAATAATAAATTACATAAATTCAAATACCCTGAATATAAAATAAGAAATTCAAGGCTATCAGTAAAATCAATTTTTTAATAGATTAATGGGATCACTTTTGTTTTGTTGTACTTTTTAAATTCCAAAACAACCTTCCTCTACTACCAAATTAGTCTACACAGCCTTTGTTTGTCATGAAGTTTCTAGATGTTGATAATTATTACTTTAACTTACCTTAAAATATATTTATTTATTTATTTATTTATTTCAGAACAAAACATACGAAACCTTGAAAAGTTTTCTTAAAAGCATGTACTGTAGGGAGTTCATTTTGTTATGTTACCTTTGTATTAAGAAGGTAAATTATTGTTCCCCGCAATTTATGTACGTTATAAAGCCAAACATAAAGGATTTTTGGATTATCAGTGCTACTGCTTTCAGTTATTGACTATAATTAAGAGTTGACTATTTTTAGAGATGGAAATACTTAAAAATAGTGGTTGCATCTTTTCTAAGCTTGAGGTTCCTTTTTCTTATTTTTATATTCCTGACAGCTTATCATCCAAAAGTGATATGGACTGTATTATTTATGTATAATATATGTATTGGTATATATGTTAGTGTGTGTGTGTGTGTGTGTGTGTGTATACTTATATATCTACCCTTGATACAACTGGAGATTCTAAAGCTGTTATGAAATAATTGTCCAAGTTTATATGCGTGGTTATATCTAAACTGAAATTATTTCCAGGGTTAAGCTTTTTGAATTTCCACCCTTTCCTTATCCATTGTTTCAAGAAATTATTTATTTATTGCATGTGAAGTACATCACATCTAATGAAATTTTATACATTTGATTCTAACATAATAGGTATTTTCTTGGAGGAAAATTAAATATAGGGAAGTTATAAAAGTGACCGTTACTATTTCAAAATGGACAAATTCAATGAAAGAGATATTCATTTAAATCCCTCTATTTGGCATATTTCATTAAACTCTGATTTGTGGGGGGGTTCCTTACCTTACCATTTAGGATTTAAATATGTGATGCTGTTAAACTATCTGAAAAGTAACAAAATTTAACTTTCATCTCAGGTTTTAGGTTGTATGGACCAAAGAACTTAAGAAATTGGACTTAGCCAAGTATTACATCCATTCAATGTAATATTTTGTCTCTGATATTAATAATTAGATGCTATTTTTTATGGAAGTCTAGGTCAATATACTAGCTAATATTAAGTAATTAGTATGGAATATATAATCTGTAAGTTTGGCCAGTATCACTTCTAGATACTAAGTCTTTTTTTCTCACATGGAAAACTGGAAATCATGGAGCAACATGAGGGATTTCTCAAAAGATCACAGGGCTTGGAGCTACAAAGCTATAATAGCTGTTTAGAGGTGATGAGGACAAATCAGCAGTTAAACATAGAGGTTAACTAGTCTTGGCTATTTCCCCAGTTCTTTATGTTCTGCGGGATTTTAGATAGACTGGCATTTGGTGTTATTGGTGCCCATGCCTCTTTAGACATGAACTTGGAAGTGTGATGGTGTGTGTGTGTATGTGTGTATGTATGTGTTCTGTTATAGAGATAATATACAATGGAAAAGTTCATGGTAAAAGTTAGAATCCCAAAATTAAAAACTAAAAATAGTCTATGGCCATGCTACCCAGAACAAGCCCAATCCCGTCTGATCTCAGAAGCTAAGTAGGGTCGGGCCGGCTAGTACTTGGATGGGAGACCACCTAGGAAGACCAGGTGCTGTGAACATAAAAAATAAAGGATTGTAAGCTGACAAAGTCCTTGCAATGTGTGAGGTCAATCAAGGGTTGCCTCGCCTAAATAAATAAATAATAAAAATAATTTAAAAAATAAAAACTAAATGTCAGAAATTAGTAATTTTCAAATAGGGATTATCTATGCTTTTATGTTGAGACCATTTGTTTGGAATACCATTAAATGTTGGATTAGATGGTTTAAAAGGTACCTTTGTAACTCTGACAAGATGTCATTCTAAGCTATAACCTTTTAAAAATAGTATTTTAAATAAAATTACTTCTATGAAGTTATAAGGATGCTCCCTCATTTATAAAAGATGAAGTAAAGTCAGCATTTACTTTAATCATATCGTTTATCATTTCATCTTTTACCACTCATGTTTTTTTCCAGTTTATACTCTCTGTCCTCCAAATAACTTATTCTTTTTAAAACTATAAAGTGTCTTTGTAATAGCAAAGATGTGAGTTATTCTGACTTAAGATTTTTAAAGTACATACTGTCAGGTATGTTTGCTTAAAATTTTAAGGAAGTATATTTGTATAATAGGTATTAGAAAGCTTTGTTTGCTTATGGCTTAAGCCAAAGGTTAAAAATGTATCTGCTTTTTATCATCATAGAAATAGTCTTACCTTCCTTTTTTCACCTTCCTTTTCTTCTAGAGGCCCTGTTGCATTGCCAACAAGGTATTTTTCTTTTCGGCGCATGATATTTATAGTGCCCTAAAGAAAAAGAGAAAAGTAATTAGGTGACAGACTTCACGGCCCTTCTCCTTCTCTAGATTGACTTCTCTGACTCTACATGCCTCTTTTATTATGCTTACCTCAGAATTATAAGTTTACTATACCATCCATAAATTAGCATAATTGAACATTAATTGTACATGCCTTAAAAATCTTTAATTCTTCAGTGCTTACTTTGGCAGCACATATACTAAAACTGGAATGATACAGAGAAGATTAGCCTGGCCCCTGCACAAGGATGACATGCAAATTTGTGAAGCCTTCCATTAAAAAATTCTTTAATTCTTCATATTTCTCTTTAAGTTATCGGAGTTAATAGGGGTCTAGCCAATTATTGTAATTTTCCAACTGTCATAATTCTGTGGAAACATATAGTAAAAAGATTAAAATGCTTTGGAATCGGGCAAGCCTAGTTTCAAATCTGTTTCACCATTTATTAACTAGTCATCATAAACAAGTTTATTAATCTCTGTGTCTCTACTTTCCCATTTGTAAAGTAGGAATAGACATACTTGCTTCATCCAGTTGTTATATGGTTTAAATAAGATAATGTATGTAAAGTTCCCAGTTCAGTGTACCATCTAATAGACAGTGTGGGTTAATGTCATCTCTTGCTTTCCTCAAATAAATGGTTGGGTGGTATTCATCCATAATGTTTGAAAAATGAGAATTAAAGGTAGTAAATTCAGTACTTTTTGGGTTATTTTTTCTGATGGTAACCAGTTTTCCTTTCTTATGTATAGCATACCCGGCCCCTCTAACAAGTATAAGAGGCCGAAAACCTCTGTTCGGAGAAATAGGACACACTATTATGAACTTACTTGTTGTGAGTAACTGAACTATTTTATTAAGTGTTCTTATATTGTTACTTTAAAAACTTATTTAGTAAATTTTACACGTTTATATTTTCCTATTTTGATTTGGCATATTTGGTATAATAAACTTTTATTTACAATAAATTCTAATTCATTTAACATAAATGGGCTCTGTTTTTAATGAATTCTTTTTAGAACACATCTCCTAATTTATGTGTACCTGATTCTAATTGCCTTTCAATTCATTCTGCTGCAGTGCTTACACATTTAGGTAATGTGAGATCCACACAGATGTTGAAGCTTTTGAAGCTTTAGTAAAAAAGTGTTAGTAAAGTCAAGTTTGGTGATTATGAGCAAATTGTGGCCCAAGTTTTCTCATTTGCAATAGGAAGGATTGCATTAGATGATGTCTCAGGATCCCTTCTACCTCAGATTTCTATAATTTTGTGTTTACCTGTTACCAGAAAAAAGTATTTCATTGGATTTGCTTTTATTTATAATATTAAATTCGAAGACGTATTCTATTTTGGAAGTACTGTAACTAGAAAGAGGAGATCACCTATTTCTATAGACTTCCTCCTGAGAATGGTATACTTTATTACTACTGTGGAGTAGCTGGTTTTAGGATTGATTAGTTGGTTTTTTAAAGTTGGCACTGCTTTCTGAGTGGCATTTTGACAGTTACGTATCACAAGTCTTAAAATTATGGATACTCTTAAAAAAGGATTTAATGAATGGGTAAATGTGAATTATAGTTTAAGCTTTATGGAAGTGTCACTATTTTTTGTAGGACCTTCGAAATTACCAGTATACCTTGCAAAATATAGATCAGCTGTTGATTCATATGGAAATGGGGAAAAGTTGCATAAAAATACCTCGGAAAAAATACAGTGATGTGAGTATAATTGCCTTATCAAATTTCAAAGATAATTATTGAACATTAGATTTCCTTAGAAGTATGTCAAATTTTGTTTTGAATTAGACTATTAATTTATAATGGCAAAATATAATATTTGAAATTTTAGATTCGTTTGCTAATAAAGCATTTGTTTAATCCTGTTTTTCATTTTTTCTTTATTGTTTTATCTATTAATTGGGGTGATTTTATCTTAATATATTTGTTTCTGTCACATTCTCAGGGAGTTGTCCATACCAAAGCTTGATAATTATGAAGCTGGTCAGAAATGTGACTCTTTCAATTATTGTAACTGATGAAGGTATAAGATGTTAAAAGTGTTTCTGAAAGAGCATTTTTCCCCCCAGGTAATGAAAGTAATAAATTCTTCTAATGAGCATGTCATTAGTATTGGAGCTAGTTTTAGTACAGAAGCAGATTCTCATCTAGTCTGTATACAGAATGATGGAGTTTATCAAACACAGGCCAACAGTGCCACTGGCCATCCTAGAAAAGGTGAGTGTTGGTTATTAAACCACCTCGATAAATAGAATTCCTTTAAAAGTGGAAATATATATATATATTTTATTATTTGCTGATTGTTGGTGATAAAACAGTATGCTTTAAAATTTTAACTACACAAACAGGTTTTTAAATTGCTTCTAATTTGTGTTTTTCTCTTGGGCTAATTAAATTAAAGACTTGCAACACTGTATCTAGATATCTTCAGGCTTAATATGTCCTATATGGTGGAAGTCTTAATTTTTTTCAGTTATTTTTCTTTGGGATGAGGTTTTTTTCACCCTTATTTGCTCTTTGCTTCAACCCTCTTATTTAGGGGAGCACAGGACAGATAAGAATGTAGAATGATTTCTAAAACTGTAAGTGGCTATAAAAATTATAAAGGTGATAAAGTAGCATATCTGAGTGACATTACTCTCAGTTCTGGCTCAGTGACCTCATGACTGCTGTGCTTACCAAACTTGCAGTAGAGAGCCTAACAAATTAAAAGTTAAGTAGAAGTTAGTAACTATTTCATAAAATTAATATAGCATTATAAAATAACGTATTTAAAATAGTCATTTTGGCAGGCTATAACATTTTTTCCTCTGATTATAAAAGTAATATGTACTCATTTGTAGTAAGCTTGGAGAATATGTTTTAAAAAGTAGTAAAAAAAATGTCAAGATATGGCTATCGTTGACATTTTTACTATTTTTCCTTTTTTATTCATATGTATTTTTATATTATATGTTTATTATCTATTTTATTTTTTACTTATATATTTTTATATATCATTTAACATGTCATTGATAGTTTTGTCATTAAAATTTAACATCTATTTAATATATGTTTTATAAGTATATATTTGGTATAAATTCAAAAGGTATAAATATTTACACTGCAAAATCTCCTTTCCTCCATTGATCCTCAGGCTACCCTCTTCCCCTCTCCACAGGCAACCAAACCAGTCTTATCAGTCTTGTATTTCCTTTTTGAGACATTTTTGCTTATTTATATATTTAAGCAAACACACACATACACACACACACCCCCCTTCTTTTTCTTAAAAAAAATCATAACATTTATTCCATTCTGCACTATGTTTTTTCTTTTGTTAACACACTTTGAATATTATTCTGTGTTAGTATATAAAAAATTTTTGCATTCCATATAACTTTCCACTTTATATGTATACATCATTTAATTGTCCCTTATCGATAGATATAGCTTTTACCATTCCTTGCCTGTTTATAGTAATGTACTGTGAATAGCCTTGTATACATTCCATTAATTCCTAAAAATGGAATTGGTGCATCAAAGAATACATACATGTATTTGTAATTTTAATAGATAATTATCAAGTTGTCCTCCCAGAGATTGTTCTGATTTATGCTCTCACCAGTAGTGGATGTTCAATTTCTCACACCCTATCTGACACAGACACAAAGATTTTAAGTAGTACAATAGTCCACCAGTTATTAGATACAAATATTAAATTATCTTTATGCATTATTTTGGGGTTTTTTTATTAGCTTTCTAATGTAAGTGGTATGGTCATGGCATTTATCAAGTACTTAAAATGTCCCATGCTCCATATTATGCATTTAAAAAGTTATATAACATAAAATAGAGCAAGTTAAAACATAACTTGTATTTTTTTATCAGTGACAGGTGCAAGTTTTGTAGTATTCAATGGAGCTCTAAAAGCATCTTCAGGATTTCTTGCTAAGTCCAGCATAGTTGAAGGTATGAGTTTCATCTTTAAGATTGTTTTAGTGTAAAGATGTTTTCCATTTCTTTTTGAAACTCTATTTAATCTTATATAAAAGAATATATGTAAGTTACAAGGCATAGTACCACAAACTTCTGTGAAATCATTACCCAGCCCAAGAACGAGAACGTGACCAATATTTGGGTCTACTTATGCCTTTTTCCTCCTCTCTCCAAGAATTAATTATTAGACTGAAAACTATGTTTATCATTCTCTTGGTTAATTTTTTTTACTCTGTATAAACATGTATAAATACATTGCTTATTTATGCTCATTTGGGAGATTTATAAAAATGATATTCTGCACAGTCTTATGGAACTTACTATTTTCACATAACAGTATGTCTCTAAAATTTATGCTGTTGTTACAATTAGAGCTTATTCATTTCCAATGCTATTAAATATTTTGTGAATGCATGACACTTTATCTTCTGATCACGAATATCTGGCTTGTTCTCTTCTTTTGCTATCATGAACAATGGTGCTAATAACATTCTTATTGGTGTATGTGTATGGACACTGGGCACATGTCTAAGAGTTTCTCTAGAATATATCTCCAGGAGTGGAATTTCCTGGCCAATAGATTAGTAAATGTTCAGCTTTACAAGACAATGCTAAATCATTTGCATCCAAATATATAAAATTTCCCATTGATTTACATGTTCTTCAAGTGTAGTTTTATCAGACTACTTAATTTGTGTCAATCTGATAGGTATCTCTGAACATGGTCATAATTACAGTATCCTAATAAGTAGACCGTCTTATGACCTATTTACTGGACATATATGTTACCTTTTCCGTGAAATGCCTGTTCACATCTTTTGCCCATTTTTCTATTGTGTCGTGTCTTTTTCTGATTTATAGTTACATAGCTTTTTATATATTATAGATCCCCACTATTTTATAGTATCTTTTTAATAGGTCTTCATTTTAATACAGTATTATTTATTAATCTTTTGCAGTTGATATTTTTTTATGTAAGAAGTTTCTATCCTATTGTTAGGATGTTCTACTGTTTTGTCCCTAAAGATTTAAAGCTTTGCCTTTAACACTTAGGTCCTTAATTTATCTGAAATTTATTTATATGCATGTATAAGGTGTGAATCCGTTGATGTTTTCCTGCATTTGAATAGGAATTGATCCAGCATCAGTGATTTAGTACTCCCTATTAGAGAGTTTTTTTTACTCACACCACCTGACATCAAATGTGTGGGTTTTTATCCTCACATCAATTCTAGTTCTCTGACATCAACTGGGTATCCAACAATTCTATTCAGTTCTGACATTAACTACCCAGAGTTAGCACAGACCCCACAGGTTAAGGGCTCAGTCACAAAAGACTGCCCCCACAAGATGCCAGATAGAAGTCTGGGGCCTCTTGTACTTCTGACTAACTGAGCGTAAATCAGAGGATCCCACCACCTTCTCCTCAGGTTCAGTAATTTGCTACAATGGCTCTCAGAACTCAGAAGACATTTATGTTTACTGGTTTATTATAAAGCATATGTTTTCTGGTTTATCATAAAACATTTGTAAAGTAGTATAACTCAGGAACAACCAAATGAAAGAGATGCATATAGGATGTATAGAGAGGGGTCATGGAGATTCCATGCCCTCTCTATATGTACCACCCTCCCATTACATCACTGTTCTAGCACCTTGAAGTGTGCTGTCCGAACCCCAATGTTCAGCGGTTCTCATGGGCGTTATTGACTAAATCATTGGCCATTGCTAATTGAACCTCCAGTGCTTTTCCTCAGTTCTAGTCCAAGGACGCAAAGGGACCCTTACACAGTCTTCTGGTGTTCACCTTTTCAGTGTCTTGACCCCAGATTCCAGGCTTCCTCGGACTGTTATTTCTGGCTTCTTAGTCTAGTAGGGCCATTACAGACTTAATGGATCACTATCTAGAAATTGTCTCCAAGCAGAGAGCCTGGGCAATTATGGTGGGCTTACTTGTTGAGTTTTCCTCTAGGGACCATGGTATTGCACTTCCTGTTGTCCACTACCTAAAACAATTGCCTCATACATTTTGTCTGGTTTTATGGTTGGTTGTTATGAAAGAGCTAGTTTAGCATCATAGTCAGAAATGAAAATTTTTTTAACCATTAAAAAAATTTTTTTAATGGTTAAAATATTTGTTACCATTTAAAAAATTACTATTTTTTACCTTTAAAAAAAGAAACTTTAACTTTGTGATATAGTTTTCTTATTTCCTAATAGAAAACAACCATTAAGATGATTTAACAGGTGACTTAAAAGATATCTTGCACAGAACATGTTTTGATACAAATTTTATGGCTTAGACATACATATAAATTGATATTTAGTAAAATAAATATGAACTATAACTCTCATTTTTAGATGGCTTAATGGTACAGATAACTCCAGAGACCATGGATGGCTTGCGGCTAGCTCTACGAGAACAAAAAGACTTTAAAATTACATGTGGGAAAGTTGATGCTGTAGACCTGAGAGAATATGTAGATATCTGCTGGGTAGATTCTGAAGAAAAAGGAAATGGAGGGTAGGAACCTTTTTACTACAATGTGATTGATTTAATGGAAGGGGGAAGGATGAAAGCATCTAGTTAATAAAATGAAATATTTTATGAATATAGAATTATCCCATGAATTTAAATGCTTATAGTCCAATTAATGAATGCAGCCTGTTTTGTTTTTTTTTTTAAACATGTGCCTAACCAGCCTCTTGTTGGTTGGTTGGTTGGTTGGTTGGTTGGTTGGTTGTGAGAATGCTATAAATTATTGAAGGGTGGTGAGATAGGAGGGGGCCGATGACAAAATGTCCATTGTGTGGCAGTGTGGGCTTGATGTCAGCGGTTGAGAAAGGCAAGACACTTTTCCTGTTGTATGGTACCTATTTTTGTCAAGTAACAGATTCCCTTTGGATGTTTATTTTGTATTACATTGATTCACTGTAAATATAAACAACTAAATTTAATAATATATACATTAGAGACTTTACAGAATATTACTGCCTTCTTCTCAGTTCCTTCCCTCCTTCATTCCTTCCTTTCATTCCTTCCTTTTCTTTCCTTCCTTTCCTTCCTTCCTTTCCTTCCTTCCTTAACCAGCTGAAGGGTCTGGAGCAAAGTAGAGGGCTAATGCTGAAGGATTCCAAAAGAGTTTTTGAAATTCATGAGACAGCTTTTCTGTTATGAGACTAATGTATTTTAAATTGCAGGTCTGAATTGAACATATGAAAAAGTAGGTATAATATGCTATATAATCAAGAAATCTTGGTAAATGCATATAAACTACAGTTTTAATTATTTTGTATATAATTGAGATATCTTACTGCTTTAAATTTATAACTTCATAATTGTTCTTATTCCATTTATTCAAATGTAATAATTCATTTCGTAATTCTTTTGTATTATGTTTTATTCTATAGTATTATTAGTTCCGTGGATGGATTGTCATTACAAGGATTTCCAAGTGAAAAAATAAAACTGGAAGCAGATTTTGAAACTGATGAGAAGATTGTAAAGTGTACGGAGGTAACTGAGAAAGAAGATTCCTTCCCTTTACATGCTGTGGTTGGATATGGTTTTTTTTTAACTGGGAGATTTTGCAGTACTTAACCACTGAATAGTTTAAGTGCAGCGTATTAAACTTTTTACATTGCACCTTGAGACACACACGTTATTTCCAACCCAGATTGCCTTTTATAATACCAAATTTGGAATTCCATAGGATTATTTCAGGTTATTGTATGATAGTACTGCCTGCCAGCTCACAGTTAAGTTTTGGTAGTCTTGCCATCTTTGTTTATATAGTAATAAGATGTTATTTGATCATATTACTTTCATTTTCTCTTATTTTACAAAAATTAAAATATTTTGACATCAATTTATAATCAGCATTCACATGTGAAAGTTATTTTTGCATGTTTTAATTTATTTTTTAAGAAGGGTATATGAAACTATAGACTTCCAAACCCTTAGTTCACCTCCATACTCTTCCTTACTCTACCTCTCGGGTCAGGCAGTCATTGCTACTCATTGTGCATGTATGCTTTGTGATTTTATGCATGTGCAAGATAGATAAAAAATTACAAAGGATATAGAAATTATAGGACATTTTTTGTTTGATCTTAATGTTATTAAGATGTCTTTATAGGATGGCAGTCTTACAGGATGAGTTCATTGGTACCCTTCTGTAAGCTGAGTTAACAGGGCTTTCATTGCTACAGGTTAACTTTAGGCATTCCCAAATTAAAACCTTTGGTTTTAAGCTTTTATAGTATAGATCAGGGTTTGTGTATATATAAATGTAATATATATACATATATATATAAAATATATA